CCAAGAATCGTCTCAACACTGCCACCTTACCAAATCACTCACCAAATGACTTACAAACCATAGAATCTCATTTCTGTTCAAGGTTCAGCACTCTTGACAAAAAGATTGATGAGTCGAATTACAATCTTATAGAGAAAATAAACAAATTAGAAGAAACCATGCAGAAAAGAACCAAGAGAACGAAGCAAATCATAGTGTATTACAATCGAGAAATAAAGAACTAGAAAATAAAGTAAACCACTTACTGTCAGAAATGAAGAGAAAGGAAGATGAAATCAAGGAACTCAGAGAAGAAATGAGCAGTTTCAAAGAAGCCAGAGAAGAAATGAATAGGTTAAAAGAAAACTTTTCAAAAGAGACCAACATGATCAAAATTCATGAAAACAAACAAGAAACAATTTTGAAGACACAATCTCTAGAGAGTAGAAATGCTCTACTGATGGAAAAAGTTCAAGAATTAGAGCTCTCTATGGTGGAAAACAACACGAACAGAATTGAACGCAATACAGACAATCTTCAAGCAGAACGCCTTGGTGAAAATACTCTTGATGAAGAAAATACTGAAGTGAAATGCCTGATACCAACACAGAATAGATACGAAATGCTCAGCCAAACAGAAATGGAGAAACCTGACGCAAGTAGGATTAGAACCCAACTAACCTCAGAGTCTGATGATCTATCAAAAACTCAACAAACAGAAGTAAAGAAAAATGATTCTAAGAGTAAAGGTCAACAAACAACATAAGACCTTCCAGTCGAGATTTTAATGGACTCGCATGGGAAGGACTTGACCCAAAATGGATTTACAAACATAAAACATTAAAAATAACAAAACTTGGGCAGGGAAAGAAAAATATCAGGGGAGCAATTGAACACATCGAAAACATAAAAACCCCGAAACATTTACTGTATAGGGGATTAATTTCACGGGTTGTAATTTTCACGTTTTTCTCTCATCTGACACGATCGCGGTTTCTTGAATTCGCGGAATTTATATATAATAATAGTTACTTCCCTTGTCTATATCCGTTTTATTCATACCATAGCTACATGTAAACGAGATCAATCAGTGTTACGTCTTTATCTCACGAACAACAGGTTTGATTAATATAAAATAGTTAGATTTAATAAATAATTGACAATTAATTAAAACAAGTGCAGGTGAAATTACTTTCCTATATGCTATTACGATGAGTGCATGTACAAGATCTTTAATACAACGCGGCAAAAACCACTGGACGGTAATAAATGTGTTAATGTAAGACGACGAAAAAATATCCTTCCACATCTTAAATAAGTTCGATAGTTATTTGAATGATTTTTTAAAACCAAAATGTCGATAAAAACTAATATGCACGATAATGCACGTAACACAAACACGTGGTTACACTTGACTCACGGGTAATCAAAACACATGACCGCCGTGTTTTGATTGAAGAAACATGTAGCGTTGGCCATTGAAACAGCTTTTTGACAAATACAGGTTATAATCTGCAGATTAATTTGAATTAAATGAAAGCGTGATTAATAAATTAAGTATATAACACGTACGGTACTACTCGTAATTACTGAAATGACCATGGTCTGCACGTACATGTATATAAACCTATTGTAGTCTATTCCCTAATTTCCAGATAAAACATGGAAATTATTGAAAAATTATTCACTGTTTCTTGAATTCACGGATTTATTAACACCGTGAATATAGCGAATATTAACACCGCGAGTTATTTTCCCCCTATACAGTAATTGTAGGAGTAGGGTGTAACGATCTCTCTGACGAAAGCAACATTGAAAATGTCCTTGCAAAGTTTCATCATATGATGGAAATCGTACCAAAAACCTGTGTCTTACACTTACTACCAGTATTTAAGAGACTAGGAGATGCAGAGTACAACAGAAAAGCAGAGGAAGTAAACAGAAATCTAAAGAATGTGTGTGCAGCAAAATATCCACATGTTTACTTTATTGTCGAGAATAAAATTTCGAAACACAGGAGAAATTATACCAGTGATGGCACCCACTTCTCGAACGCTGGAAGAAAAAACCTGGTATGTGCTTTCAAACAACACCTGAACCCCCACCTCGGGATGAAACCTTATTACCAATACCAGGGGAAACAACACCTAAATCCGCATTATGACACAAAGCCTTACACCCAATACCAGAGGCCTGTCGAACAAAAATACCCAAGGCAACCTAGAGAAAATAACTATCCAAAAACTCAGCTTAGAGACTTGGTGGAACAACTGCTTTACCTTGTATAAATAATTTGTTTGCAAGCAATTTATTATTGTTTGTAAGCAATTTATTCCTTCAAATGGGTTGTGACATCCCTCGTTCAGTTTCAAATTTTAAAGTTATTCTAGTCAAACTGCATGTTTGAACACTCACAATCAGGTAACAAAATGTTTTGCATCAGATAAAGCATTACACGATGTTTTCCTGTCTTTAAAATATTGTACGAATTAATATTTTAGTTAACAAAAAACACGGAGTTGTGTATCACTGTCAGATACAGTACATACTTTAATAATTTTTTTTTTGCCCTTTTCAATATGTTATCACTTGATATTGCATATTGGAATGTCCATGGTCTAAATGATGACAAATTAAGTGATGACTTTTTTAGTAGTTTGTTTATAAAATATGATATTTTGTGTTTAGCAGAAACAATGTTGAAAGACTCCTCAAGAAATCTTCCTGGGTTTTCTCCAACTTTTGTACTCAACTCAAAGAAATTCAAGAGAAAAGGCAGACCTTCAGGTGGTCTACATATATACATTAAGCTTAATATATATAAAAATTTCAGAAAGGTATATCAAAGTGAAAATAGCATATGGATTGAAACCAACTTAAAAATCTCGGAACAGAGTCAAGAAACAAAAACACACTACTTTTGCTTTTGCTATATCAAACCATGTGTAACAAAAAATAAATAAGAGAAAATTTTTGCAGCTCTAGAAAATGAAATTGCAAGATTTAGATGCAAAGGTGAAGTATTAATATGTGGAGATTTTAATGCTAGGACAGGAGGGCTTAAAGATTACATAGAACATGATACAATTACAGACACCTTTTCCGATTGCCCTTTACCTAAAATCATGTATGAAAGTGGAATATCATGTAAACGTTCCCAGCTTGATACAAAATCAAACCTACATGGACAATTGATTAATACCATATGCAAAACATACGGATTATCTATACTTAATGGAAGATTTCTTGGAGATTCTTGTGGATATTTTACTTTCCATAATGTTAATGGTTCTAGTACAGTTGATTATATGTTGGCATCTAATCATTTATACCATAGAATACAGCATTTTAATATATTGCCTCCATCAGAGCTTTCTGATCATTGCCTTATTAACACTAGAATACTGATGAATACAGATCTGTTTTGTAAAGAAAAATATGACTTGAAAACTATGAAGGGGAAATTTCTCTGGTCAAGCATCCATGAAACACAGTATATAAATTCTTTCTGGGAAAGAAATATTGAAGGAGATATCAATGTTTAATGAAATGCTTGATAATGTAAATGAAGAAAGTATAAAGGATACAAATCAGTTAATTGAAAAAATGACTAATATTATAATTACTGCAGCTAATAAAAGTGTCTGTACCTTTAAAAAACTACAAAAATAAGAAAAACCTAAAAAAGAAAAAAGAAAGAAAAACCGAATTGGATAAATTATGACTGTTTATTACTGAGAAAAGAAGTAAGAAATCTAGGAAAAAAAAAGTCTCACGGTACCCTAACAATACGAATTGCGGCATGCTTTTTCAAATGCTAGACAAAATTCAAACAACTAGAAAACATCTTAAATTAGAGTATTACAATAAAATTGCCGAAAAAAAAAAATTCATTAACACAGAATAAATCTCAGAAATTCTGGAATAAAATCAAAGAATATAAAATTAAAATGACAGAAGCAGAACCCATAAACACTTCAGATTTTGTTGATCATTATAAAGTCTTGCTAAATAAAGAATATTCACCTGAAGAAAATGAAAAGTACAGATTAGAAAATTTTAATCTAGAACCCCATCCCAATTATGAGTTCACTCACAATGAAGTTAAAATAAATTATTGAAATTAAGAAAAGATAAAAGTCCAGGTCCAGACCTGATTTTTAATGAATTTATAAAAGCAGGAAGTGATTACCTTTGCCTGTTCTCACAAAATTTTCAATATAATTCTTGAAAACGGGACCATGCCAAAAGATTGGAACCTTTCACACATAACATCACTTTATAAAAATGGTGACCCAAATGATACAAATAATTACAGAGGCCTTAGTGTTACAAGTTGCCTTGGAAAACTCTTACGGGAATTTTTACAACAACGCTTAAATTATTATCTTGAATCTAATAACCTTTTTAAACCCAAAAATCAACAGGTTTTAGAAAAAACCAGAGAACTACTGACAATATCTATGCTTTAAGAACACTTATTAACAAATATGTTTTTAAAAAGAAAAAGAAACTATTTGCCTGTTTTGTAGACTTTTCCAAAGCCTTTGACACTGTGTGGAGATCGGCACTTTTATATAAGATTAATAAAAAGGCATTGGTGGTAATTTTTTGAAACTCCTATACAATATGTATACAAATACCTTTTATTTGTAAGAAGTGAAGAATTTTTAGCATGGAGGAGTAAAACAAGGTGATAATCTGAGTCCAACGCTTTTTAATATTTTTATTGATGATTTTGTAAAATATTTCAATACGACAGCCACAGATCCAACATATTTACCTATTAACCACATGTTTTTTGCTGATGATCTTATTCTTGTATCTGAGACACCTAGTGGTTTACAGTCTGAAATAATAGATTTTAGGTAAATATTGTATGATTGGAAAATTTGTTGTGAACAGGGAAAAAAAAAATTTTATTTTTTTCTAAAGTCAAATTGTAAAAGATTTTGGTTTTTATAATATAGATATGAAAAAACAAATCAGTATAAATATTTGGGATAGTTTTAAATTATAAAAAATGAAATTTCACAAACAACTGTCAGAAAGAGCTAGAAAAGCTAATTATGCTATAAAAACCAATTTTCCAGCTAATACAAATTTTTCTGTAAAGACAATGCTTAAACTTTATAGATCTATGATTACTCCCATCTTAACTTGTGGTTCTGAAATCTGGATAGCAGACAAAAAGTGATTTATTATCCTCAGATCACTTTCCATTTGAAAAAATACAACACCAGATTTTTAAACACACTTTAGGTGTTCATAGAAAATCATCTAATATTGCTGTTCTACATGAGTTGGGACAGTTCCCACTATTTTATTTGTGTTATGAAAATATGTATAGATTTTTTTTAAGACTGAAAAACTTAGAGAGAGAAAATGATTATAATGACCAGTTAGTGGTGTCTGCATATAAGGAAGATAAAACACTGGGATCTAGAATATCTTATCAAAGAAAGCTTTATACTCTACAACAGAAATTGTCTTTACCCTCATTGGACATATCACATTAAACTTTAAAATATAAATTAGAGGAACATTATAGAAACAAGATCAGTGAACAAGTAAAGAACATCTCTAAATAAAATTCTGGGAAATTAACTTTTTATAGTAATATAATTGATTTAAATGAATATAAATTACAAAACTATCTAGAATTACCATGGGAAAAAATCTGAAAAACAATACTAACAAAACTAAGAATTAGTGTATACCCTACATATTGAAATGGGGAGATACTCAAGGCCACCTATTCCTAGAGAAAAACGTGTATGTCATTTTTGTAAATTTTTTATTGAAAATGAAAACCATTTTGTGCTTCCATTGTCCTAGTTATGATCAATGTAGATTACAATATTACGATATATTCAATGCACAATGTTACATGAAGGAAAACCCTATTATTGACATTATCAATCCTACAAGTATTAGAACTGCAAGGAGAGTTTGTAACTTTTTGAAAAAGTGCTTTGATATTAGGAAAGAAAACCTTCAACAAACCTGATATGCTTTCTTTGATATTTTATTTTATGTATGTTAATTGTTGTATTCATGACTATATGCCAATGTATGATGGTGTTGTCAATAAATGAATTGAATTGAATAAATACAACTCTTTTTATAAGGGGCTAGAAGATGTTCAATCATTGTAGTCACCAGACTTTAAAATAGTATACTTAGATTTCAAAATACCTATGGATATGGAAAGACGATCTTTCATTTTTTTTCCATATGGTTAACTAATAAATAAATGTAAAGTAATATATTTATATATTTCTGCAAAGATACCCCCTTGTGAATCGACAAAAGCTTCTGAATGAATTGGTTGAACAATTTTCCGTTGATTTCTATTGTGAAAAACGCAAATATTTTACCAACATTATTGGGCTTTATTAGGCATAATTTCCGGATACTTTTGATCAGACTTGCACTGACTTATTTATACGTTTAAAAAAACAAAAAGGCGACTTTGATATTCAATAGTGCATTTTACTATTTTCGTGCGATCCTCTGACAATTATTCGACACACTCGCTTGGTATTATTTATTTTTTGCAACAGTATAATCAACTTTCTCAGCTTTCTCAATGCACACACTTGTAATCCCGGCTAATCTGAAAGGATATGAAGATAACGAACAGTATTCAATATCAAAGTCCATAACACAATACAACATGGGAGCAGAGCAAACATGGACCCCCCGAAACACCGAAGGTGGGATAAATGTTATTTAATAATAATTCCTATAGAAGTACATGTATGTTATAGACAAAGATGTAATGTCATTCAGACTGTAACCCCCCCCCCCCCATCCAAAAGGAATTGGACGAAAAGACTATACCATAGTGAAATAAAAACAAAAATTGCACTTGGTAGCGAATATGCGTACGTATAGCTAAGTGTAATCTTTTTTGCATAGTGATATAGTTACTAGTATAACGACTTGCGGGTGTTTATGACTGGAGATTTTTACTGGTCAAGTGAAATGAAAAAGGTGAAGACAGCAACCAGTTATCGATCTAAAAAAATCTAAAATGCAATACAAATTACAAGTATACAATACAAATTCTTTGTGACCAGGAAAAAAAAAACCCCACAGAACCCTCAGAAATCTAGAGATGGGATCAGGTGCCTATAGGAGGAGTAAGCATTCCCTTCGGAACGGTCACGCTGTGAGGCCGTTGTATTGATTATGTATAGACGGAACACCCCTTAGTCAAATTTAGTGCTAAATCAAAGGCTGAAATGGGTCTCAATATTAATTGCACCAGCAAAAAAAAAAAAAAACAAACAAACAAACAAACAAACAAAAAAAAAACCTGCATGTGTGCAGTAAATACATAAAAGAAAATTATCAAACCTTCATGCTGTGGTAAATATCTGAATTTTTTTTTTTATTATTAAAACTTAGTATTGTACAAAATTTAATGTTTTTAATTTTGGATCACAAATCCAAACTATTTAAACACCAAAAGCAGATTAAATTTTCGTGTGACCCCCCCCCCCTTCCCCTCCAAAAAAAAAGTTTACATCTGTTCTTTAGGGTCATCCTCCTATATGCACCTGAAAAAATAATATTTAAAATGATATAAATTAATTTAACACAGAATTTCGTAATATTATTTTTATATTATAAATTTGGTAATATAGTTAAATTACAGAAAATCGTAATATATACTCAACAAAAAAAGAAACGCATATTGTTTTACTCGTCAAAGAAATTTTTAAAATGTACATGAAACAACTATTTTTTATATCATTGGATACCTGTGACCTGTTTAAAGGACAACATGGGGTTTTAAAACCCAAGTGTTGAATTATCTCCCTTGATTAAACATGTTTATGAAAGTAGTGTTTTTCATGATTTCTTCTAAATCAGATGTCTATTTTCATTAATATTTTGGATTTAGAGAAACTTTTAACATTTCTATTAAACCCATATTTAAGATTTGATTGCAGTGTTAATACTGCAATGCCACGCCCAAACAAAGATGAATACAACCAGGCTAACGATGATACTAAATGGAGCTACGCAACAGGAACTTGCAACTGTATTTGAAATAAATCAGTGGGCTTTGCAACCTTAAAACTAACCTCTGAAGACCACTATCTGGCCATCCGCAGGTAACCACAACCAGGCAGGACCGTCAGACACCCCCCCCCCTTCATTAACTCATTCGATTCAGAACTTGTTGTAAAAACTGCTGCTACAATTGCTGGATGAAAAAATCAGCATAAAAATGCATAAATTGTTCGCATGAGAATTAAATGAGATGATATTCCCCCACGATCAGTGGCGGATTTAAGGGGAAGGCGCCCCCCCCCCCCCCCCCCCCCCCCCCCCTAAAATTGTCAAAGTTAGCGTAAATCAAATATGTCTACTTGGTAGACCTTATTTTCACCCTTCATAATCTCTAGAATCCAGGAGCTTCTGGGGGCTTCGCCCCCTGGGCCCCCATCAGAGCTTTGGTAGACCTCATTTAACCCTTCAAAATCTCTAGAATCCAGGAGCTTCCGGGGGCTTCGCCCCCTGGGTCCCCATCAGGGCTTTGTCCTGGACCCACTGGGGGCCTCAAGCTAGGCGGCCCCCAGACCCCTTGCCTATTTTGGCGCCCCCCCTAACTCCAAATCCTGGATCCGCGCCTGACGATATCCGTACATTGGAAACCCACTAACATTGAGACTTTTCACAGTCAATATTGTTATGCCCCTTGAATTTGGGGGCATGAAAATGACCTCAACTTGACTTTTCAATTTGCAACATTGATTTTTATCACAACACACTCTAAAATCGCTTAAATAATACAAGGTTTAAACTGAAAACTCAGAATTTCAAATTATTCTGATTATGCGTTTCTTCTTTTTATACATGTAGCATTTAAAAAAGAAATCTGCAGAATTGCATTTTTAAAAATCACAACCCCCATTAAAAAGAACAGAACAGCCCTTCAACAGCAGGCGCGGATCCAGAAATTTTTCAAAGGGGGTATTGAAGGACTTTTCAAAGGGGGTTGAAGGGGAAAAAAGTTATTATAACATATGTTGTACTCATACACATAGTTAAATAGCTCAATAGGATAGTTGGAGAATGATCAACCTGGGAAAAAGTATTGATAACATACCAGAAAGTGTTTGAAAAAGAAAGGAAATTAAGAAAATCCTATTTTGTAAAGGGGAAGGGTATTATTTTTTTTAATTGTTTTCACAACTGATTTTCTTTTTAAATTACAAAGTTAAGCTTTTCTAAACAGTTTCTATGTTAAAAACACAACAAAAAATTGGATTTTTTTCTTTCTCTTTCTTTTTTGCGAATCCAAAGGGGGGGTTGCAACCCCCGTAACCCCCCCTCTGGATCCGCCACTGAACAGGGTGGAGTAATAAAATATCTGTAAACATGTATATACTGCCTCACTATTGAGCTAGCTTTTCTAGAAATGCTGTAGATCACATGTAGATTGTCCAGCTAGCTTTTCCGGTCCAGATCAGATACAACTCTCTCTCTTCTCTCTCTCTCTCTCTCTCTCTCTCTCATTAAAATTCGCGATTTGACGGAAATCCGATTGCGTAGTGAAGGAGCGGTAACTCTTTTATAGGTCTATGGACATGATCAAAATCGAAAGTAGGATTGTCCCAACAAAAACATTTTTTAATCTGGTAAGTTTTATTTTTCATTTACTTACATTTAAATTGTGTATTTTTAAGGATAGTTAAAAGCAGATGTTAAATAGTTTGAATTAAAAATAGATATCGATGTTTTGAATAATTTTATCAGCACATAGGCCTAGAACAAGCTTGTTTAGATCGAAATCTAAGATTAACAGGAAATGGGATATGTATGACCTGGGACCCCTGCATCACTATATAGTCAGGTGCTCTAACGATTTAGCCGCCCAATATGCACGGCACAAACCATTGTACTTTCCCAGCCAGGTGCTCTACTGACTGGACTAGCCAGTTTGAAATATCAACTGCCCAAACCATTACATTAATTAGTAGTCGCTGTATACTATTGTAAAACTGTGATTCAAATGAATGATTGATTGAGTATGTAAGAGAAAGAACATGATATTGCATGTATATCCTGTTCAAAAGTGAAAAAAGAGTGCTGTTTTATTTATTATCAGACCTGGCGGCAGAACTGGGGGAGGGGGGGGGGGGGTCAAAGGCTATCCTATTTTATTTTGAGTATATTGCTAGATTTGTGATAGCAATATACTCAGAATAAAAATAGGGATGGCCTTTGACCCTTTTGATCCCCCCATGTAAGGTCGAGCATTGGCAAAGTTAGGGGATTTGGAAAGGTACATGTAATGAAGTGGGTTTTTTTCCAAATTATTTCGGGAATTTGACAGCTCCCCCCTCCCCTCAACTTTTTAAACGTTAAACCAATCCCCCTACAACCTTGCACATTTCAAACTTAATATTGCTAGGGGCCTGATATCTACATGTAATGTTATAATTGGAAACAGGGGAGGGGTGCAGGTTGTCTTTGTGATTATACATGTACATGTAACTTCCTATATTGTCAACTTACCCATTCTATGTTTTTCTATGTTATGAAAAAATGAAAATAAAAAAAAGAGGATATTATGAAACATCCTCCTTATTAATGTATGTTATACAAACAGGAAGAAAATGTTTTTTCATGAAATGGTCTGACATATTCAAGGTTAATTAAATATTGGTACATATGGTATACCAAATCTACTTTTATAATTTATCTTATGTATATATTTGTTTTGGGATCATTCTATTTTTCGTTTCATCTTAAGTAATCTTAAATCCTTTTATCTTCAATTTAATTGGTTCATTTAATATTATCCAATTGTTTAAAACCTTGAGTATAAGTAACCGTTCAAACTAAGCAAAATTGGGCAGTATATAACATTTTAAAGAAGAAATTATTTCCATGCAGTTGATATCCGATGCATCTTGTTGTATGTAACTTTCGTATTTAATATGTATGCTGCAGAAAGGGTATCTTAATGTCAATGTTTATGAAAGTACATGTAAATTGTTTTTTTTTCTAAATGTATTCTTTATTTTTGTTTTAGGCCATGTCTTTTTTCATATACATGTGCTTCATAAATGAAATGGATACTACCATCTTATTCATCATTTTCCCTTAACTGCTCGGTTACTTACAGTAACTGGCTGAATAGACCAGTATCAAAAATGAGGGTTTTTTAATGAACCACATATATAAAATTATTATTTTTCGAAGAATTTTGATTTTTTTTTTAAAACTCCGCTGCCATTTTACAAAAATACGACCCGCGCTTCTCAACTCACTAATCTTTTCAAGAAAGCAGAAAGATTACAAATCACGACAAACACTTGATGATGCACAGTTAGTTAAATTCTCATTTCTCTAGATGTTTCTCTCAAAGTCTGTATATGAAATACGGTTTTTGTATAATCGCTTGATTTATCATGTATTTGCAGGTATGATCCGAACTTTCCTTATATTAATATGACCCGATAATTACGGGTACTGGTGTTGTTTCTGTTGGTATCAATATTATCATGAGAATGTAACACCGGGAAGAGAAAGAAAGAAGAAGAAGAAAGAAATGACAGAAAATCTTGTGTGTTAGAATGGGAAAATATTCTGTGTTGTTCCTCATTTTACAGTTATTAAAAGTAATACAAACTTAAAGGAGTTATATTAGTTATTCATTTACATCTGTTTTAATTTTATATTTATGAAGTTTTAACTTTTCACAGTTAAAAACAAATCTTTAAAAAAATATACGAATAACAAGTATATTATTAATATTTTTTTTTTATTTGGACAGATAACTCAAGTTGAGACATTCACTAAACCTTGTAATGCATCCCTGCTGACAGTTTCCATTGTTACCCGTTGTCCCACAGACGAAGCATCTTATAACATATCTGCCCGCCAAAAGAACTGTTCATCATTGGTGGATAGCAGCAGTTGTGAATCCTTCGAATACCATTGTGTTTTGAGCGAAGATCTCAATAGTGCCATTGAAGTATGTGCGCCATCATTTTTTATAATAGGTATGTTGAGAACACTTACTCTTTTTGATTGCTTTTTATCCCCTCGCACAACTAGCTGCGGAGGGGATATAGCATCGCGAATGTGCGTATGTGTGTGTGTTAGTGTGTGTGTTCGTTACACCTTGTTGGCATTGACAGAAACCTTTGCATTAACCATTCTCAGCATTTACGTACGTGTGTGGCAGTATGAAAGGATGAAGCCTATTCATTTTCAAGTTCATTTAATGAAATTCTTCTTCAGATATCTGTGTTTTTACTGCCTCGAAACCCTGACATTTTTTGTACGAATTGACAATAATCATTTGTTGGCAAGATTGACAGAGAACCTTTGCATTAACCACTCCCAGCGTTTACATATACTTGTGTGGCATTATAAAAAGATTAAGAATTTGTTGAACATCGCGGTTTTATTACCAAATTCCAACAGGTGTCTGGGAATTTGGGCTGCATGTTATTCCTGTAAGCTGTAATGCAATTTGATTTTTGTTAAAAATAGACATCCTCCACCCCAATAATTTTGTTTAAATAATAAATAGTGCTGAAAAACAATTTAATATCTTATATTAACAGTGTATTATTTAAAATTGAATTATTTAAAACTTTTGCATTTTGTAAAAAATGGATCAACAACAACACCTCACTAATGATTTTGTCAAAGGTAAGGGAGTTGATCCTTATGTTGCGGGTTTGAATCTCTTTGTGGAACGTGAAGACTGGTCCTTCGAATGAGACCCTGTAAACCAAGGGCCTATATCCCAGTAGATGCGTGCATAAAAAGATCCCCTCACTGCTCAATGGTCGTCAGTTCAGACAGTTCCTATTATATTGATAGATTGACTGTATATTGTTCAACGTCCCTCTCGAGAATTTTTCAATCATATGGAGACGTCACCGATGCCGGTGAAGGGCTTCAAATTTAGACCTATACTCGGCACTCAGGGCCATTGAGCAGTGAGGGTTCTTTATCGTGCCAACGCCTACCGGGACACGGGACCTACGTTTTTAAGGTCATATCCGAAAGACCCGTGACTTTCACCTCTAGTGCCGAGCGCTTGGCGAAGGAACAGTCACTACCTTTGTTTACGTCTTAGGTATGACGCGGCGCCGCGAACGAGAATCGAACCCGGACCTCCCGATCACGAAGCGAACGCTCTACCACTAGGCTACCGTGACCGGTAGTTCCTATTATAGAAAAAGAATGTGCAGCTCTCCACCGGCAGGCCTTGTAGCAACCTCTAATGATAAAACGCCGCTTAATGATACAAATAGCATTAAGAGTTGCAATTGCAACGCTAAATGCCATCAATCATTGCATTAATAGCTGACATCATCAACCGCTAATGCTAAATCGCCGCTTAATGACAGAATTATATCATTAAGCGTCACAAATGCAATTCAACACCGACGCTTAATGCAACAAGCAAATATCGACATATTCGACGCTTAATGATACACACTGGTGTACCATTAAGCGTTGCAGTTGCAACCCTTAATGATATAAAATTTCGAAATCGCTTGTTATATCTAAGAGAAACACACATCTATCTTTCCTGAACAATGCGATATCACTTGTCAAAATATTCATATATGCTCTTGTGCTATATAAATAGTAATTATTGATGTTTTACTGTGTTTTCTATCTAGTCAAGGGAACGTCGTTAAGCCTCGGATGTTTAAGAGACAGATAGTCAGATAGCTAGAAGAAAGAGATACAAACAAAGGAATAAATAAAATGATATTCAAATCCTTTTAAAAGAACCTTTTTTTATTACTGAAAATACAGAATTCCTTTTAATTTGATACAATGATTTCAATACTCAACCTAAAATTTATAGAATATGTTTAAATATTCCAGACTTTGTATTTTAGATTTGATACAGCTTAACACATGTCACTGTTAACGTGTCAGATATACGTATCGAGAAATAAATTCATAATTTTCACTATAATTGTATTTTTAATCTGCTTCGTTTCTCCAAATTTCGATAAAGAGAGACATCAATATTGACTATTTATGTTTAAGGATATTAAACACAAAGAATGCAAATGTATGCAATACATTGAATAATATGTTATTTTGAGAAAAGGTTCATCATCCTTTATTTGCTATCAGTTTTACTTGAATGCATTACTGTGGCATGATTATTTAAGAATCAATTTGAAAACTAGTACATGTATATAATTGTCAAATTATGAAAAACATGTCGAATGAAGTTGATGAAGCTGATGTTTTTAAAATTCTAAATGACGCATACTTCATTTTGTAGTATATTTGCCTGTCTGTCTGTCCGTCTGTCTGTCAACATTTTTTTGAAAATGCTACTACTCCTGCAGTTTGGTCTGATTTCAATATAACTTGGCACAAAAATAGACTACACTAAGATACTTAATTTCTGCATTGGTTTTTGATTTCTTCCTTTGTTACTAAAGATAGAAATAATATAATAAAATGCTACTTATCCAACATTTTTTGTCTGATTTCTAAATAACTTAGCTCACATGTAGACTACATTTAAAGATATAGTTTTTTGATTTCGATCAATGGTGTTGCCGTGGTTACTAAAATAGAAATTTCTGTGAAATTCATTCAAAATGCTACTGATCCTACAGTTTTAGTCAGATTGTAATATAATTTGGCATGCAAGTAGACTATACTGGCATACACTATTATCAGTTTCGTATTTTGAGTGTGTTGATTGATGTTGCCATGGTAACTAATATTAAAAATTCTGTAAAATTTTATTGAAAGCTATAACTACTGTTATAGTTTTATTGCAATCTTGCCACAAAAAATAGACTTAATTAAGGACCATTATTCTTTTTATTGCTTTTATAAAGTTTTATGCCCCAATTGCTACTTTTTTCTTCCTTTAATATAAGTAAGTACAAACGAGTAGAGCTACAGTCTCGACAGAGATATATTTTTTTCTTTCGATATATAAGACTAAGTTTACATCTGACTAATATTAAAATGAAATAGATTTAAATGAATAGTCCTTTTTTGGTACAAGAGAGACCTCTCTATTAATGCATATACTAGTATTCATTTCTTGTATATTATTCTTTTAGAAAAATGGTCCTTCTCCCAAAAAAAATGTTGGAACCTTTTTCTCAATCTTAACCTTGAAATGTAATGAAATATTAGGAATAGGAGTCAAAACGTCATTACATCAAAGTTTCAAAGTTTTTACTATTGTTAATTAAATTCCAAGTTTTCATTGTAGTAAATCAAGGTTTTTACTACAAAGTTCCAAAGTTTTCACTATTAATAGTAAATTTAAGTTCTAAATGTTTACTTTGGTACTATAGTTAACTTAAGTAAACTGTAGTATTTTTTAAGGATATGTTCGTTTTTCTACACCAGCCGTGAAAAAAAAACTTATTTCACTTTGTCGTCTAATGTAACATCACCGACTTTCTCATCAAAATAAAACAAAACGCCGATCAAACTACGCTGTAGTTTAATGGAAGTGTTCAATTTAAGGAGAAGTAATGAGACAAAGATTGTTTGTAAGCGTCGGGATGGGATGGGGTAGGGGTTATTTACATTAATAGATATTTTATGTTGGTTAAGGTAGGATTCTTCTCGCATTTCTTGTATTTAAAAATTAATGAAATGATCACAGAATCAAGAGGACAATATTTGTGATGGTATCAGTTAGAATAAATTTGACCGTTTAATATTAGAGGCAAGGGTTAGGTCAAGGTCATATCCTGGAAATTAAGGTCAGACGACACGTTCCTTAAAAATATGCTATAAGATACAGATCTATAAGATGTTTTGTATCTCTTGGAATAAGATAAATAATATTCATATTTGGCATTCTCTTCTATTTCTACATTGTTTTCAAAATGTTTTAAAATATAGGTACACCAAAAATGGTGAGATAGGCCGTTCAGAGTATTATTCATAAGGGTTATATAAGAAATATGAACCTTTGGTATCTTGTCCAAGTGGCTGGCAAGGTACCCTTATTTTTGCGAGGAATCTTGTTTAAGTACCTATTCTTCAATGACAATGAGGAACGTGTCGTCTGACCTTAACATTAATTTAAAACCAGATATCTCTGTCAAGAATGTAGCTCTTCTGGTTTGTACTTATAACAAAGGATGAGAAAAGAAGCCATCACCATCAGACCAAACCTGTAGAAGGAGTGCGTTTTCAATGGATTTCACAGAAATTTCTATTTTTACTATCATGACTCATCAAAATCAAAAATTGATGCACTATTTTATGTATTTTAGTGTAGTCTACTTGCGTGAGTTATATTGAAATCAGACAAAAATTGTAGGAAAGGTAGTGTTTTAAAGAAATTTCACAGAAAATTCTATTTTTAGTAAACCTGGCAACACTGTTCATCGAAATCAAAAACCGATGAAATATCCTATGTATCTTAGTGAAGTATATTTGTGTGCCATTTTATACTGAAATCAGACCAAAACTGTAGGAGGACTAGCGTTTTAAAAAAAATTGTTTACAGACAGACAGCTAGCTATATACGTATATAGACGGACGGACGCATCACTATAGCATAAGCTCTTCTAGTCTGACCAGTAGAGCTAAAAATTACTGTTTCCAATAATGCAATCCCTACTTGTAGTTCAAAAGATTATTATTTTTTTTATTTTTGCACAAAAAGAGACTGCCATATAGGTATATATGGGTAATTTAGATAAAATGGATATGACGCCTCAATTTTTCTTAATTTTTTAGGATTTATTTGTTATTTTTATATGCTTCCTATACATGTATTTAAATTTTTCCATTTTTCACATATAGTAAAGTTGGCACATAAAAGTACAAAATGATACAAAAACTAATAGTTTTTATCGTTTACCAAGATAGAAATAACACTTTTAGAATTTTTGTCTCAAATCTGTACTTAGATTTGAATCATTTAAAAGCCAACATAGTTCTAGTATGTGTGAAAATCTTATTTATTTGATATATTTTGAAACTTTAGTCCCTTATTATTAATATATATAACTTACATTTGAAAATTTCATCTAGTTTTGTTC